CCGCCTCCCAAGGCAAATCCAGCACCGTGCTGAGTGGGTCAGCAGGATGATCGGTTGGCGTGACTTGGTCCCTTGAACTCCGACCCTGGACTTCCAAGGTTGACGATGTGTAACACCCCCCAAGTGGACGGGGGGGCCCTTCCGAGGCACCCGGGACACCCGGGGCACCTGCAGAGCATGTTTCAAACGGTCTTTGATTCCCAAGGGTTCAGATGTGTGGCAAAAGGCCATCACCTTTTTTCCCATAGAAGTCCCACAGAGATGTCCTCGACCAGTGATGGAATCAGGCAAAAGACGCCTGGACGGTTGTGTTGGGTGTTTATGGGTATTTGGGATTTCAACACTTGTCCAACGACCTATGTATATGACCCACATGGGAGATGTATTTCCTGGTTTTTTGTAAGGTGATGATAGGTGATGTTGTATTCCCTACTGGCCCTACTATGAGTAAATCCCCTTTTGGGTGTTTTGGGTGTAAGGTGATGATAGGTGATGTTTTATTCCCTACTATGAGCAAATCCCCTTCTGGGATATTTTTTCCAGGTTTCCTGGACAGCAGTTTTCCAAGTTTTCGACCCCAGTCCTGGAGTGAAGAAAGAGCATCCGACCCAGAAATGTCAGACTGGGAGCATAGTATGGGAGCATAGTATGCTGAGCATAGTATGGGAGCATAGTATGCTGAGCTTAGGATCACAGGATCTAGGATCAAACATTCTGACGGCATTGCTACTTTTGGATCCAAGAAAGATTGCATCGCCCAACGAGTTCAACCCAAACCTCCCGAAATGGACCATCAATCGCTAGGTGTGTTCCCCTTCAATCAGTGAGAATGGTGATATTTGCCAGAGACCTCCAATGTAGACTCTTTGATTAATAAACCACCCTTTGGATGAACAACAACGCTTCATACAGGTTGTGTTGTTCTTTTTTATTGATAGTCTACATCACGTTGCGCAGAACCGATGATCCAGTTCAGCTTTGCAAATTGAGCACCTCCAGTTGGCGACATGAGCAGAGTGGCCGCCTGAAGAGTCAAGGCAACGTAGGAAGACTCGGATCAGCAGCATCAGCAGCACCAGCATCAACCTGGTTTTGCCAGTGGTGTGTATTTTCCTCAGCCGGGTGCTGAATCCCCTGGCATGGGGAATATGCTTATGACATGAGTCCGGTTCCTGAACAGCAAATCCAAGTCAAGGATGTTCTACCAGGTGAAGCCGGCAAGAGGCTTCCGACAAGGGGACAAGCTGGTGAACCAACGGAAAAAGTAATGCCAGGTATTCCCTGCGTTGCAGATGAGACACTCCATGGGTAGGAGTACACCTGGATCTGACCTGTCTATGCCAAATGTTTGCCCAACTTGGCTGTTTTGGTGAATGAAAAGGCCAGAAGCATGTCACAGTGTGATATTTCTACATTGAGGTGCTTGATTCTTCGAGGTCTGGGGTCTTTCTGGGGCGAAATTTTTTTCGTCCACGTCCGGTCCCATGAAGTCGTCTTGAAGGACCAAAAAGATGAGGTGCGCCCCTGTTTGCCACCTCAAATCATCAAACAACATCAAACTCACCTGTTTGGAAGGTGGTACACCTTGTTCAACCTCTCTCTGAGTGTTCCTTCGATGAAGCGGGCGGATCTGCCCCTGCGCGGATGGGGGGGGCAAAGCCTTTGTGTTCTGCTGGAGGGATGGGAAAGAAGTGGTTTAGATGCCTGAACCTTCAAGGGGTGTCCTGTCTGGAGGTCCTTCAAGTAGTGTGGCTTCCAGCCAGGTGACCGCCCCCTTTGAAGGTGCCGGTGGCTTAGTGATGTTGAGTGTAAATTCCTTATGAAAAAAGAGCTCGGTGGTTCGGGATTCAGCTCTATGAAATTAATGGTGGGCTAGGCACGCTATATAGACATGCTCTTGTGTCATGGGACCAACATCATTTTTTAGGTTGCTGGAACGTCCCTAAGCCAACTGAAGATTGCTCGACGGGAATGTCTGCCTGGTCGTTACGCCGAATTTTCCTGAACGACCAGGCGAAATGCACGGCTCACCCGTTGCGCCACACCAATCCTACCCCCGAATCTTCGCTCAACAAAAACGCCGACGCAGCGTGCGTGAACCGACGCCCGCGCGTGGCGCGCGTAAAGGGAGCCGCGTGAAGGGGGTCGCGGAAGATGTTTCGCAAGGCGCGAAGGACGCCGCGCCCAGCGGCGGACGAAGCGGGTGATTGGCCGCCAACCTTGGAAGTCCTAAGCGGACCGGGGAAGGCGCGAGCCAGCGTGCAAGGACGCGTTCCCAAGTCCGAAGTCCGTGTTTACAGCTCTTGTGAGAAGTAGTCACAAGTACAGATAAGTATCAGAACCAGCAGTTCCATGAAGTTGCCCAACTTGGAGGAAGTTGGGGTGCCCCTGTCACATGCACTCGCTGGATGGGACTCTTGACATTGGAAGGTGGCAGAACTGTCCGCCGACTTTTTCGAGATTCAGAGCCACGATCCTAGAGATTCGGGTGGGTGATTCTGGGTCGAAGAACCTTTGTATTGTACATGGTCCAGGACCCCCAAAGCTAGGGGTGGTGAATGGACACCCCTTATATCACCTCGTTTCGGGGCGAAAAAAATGGACACCCGGAATCCGTGGTGCTGGGTTGTACTTGTACTGTACTTGTACCCAGCACTTCCTGTCTGGGTGCTTTGTGAAAACTTACAGGTAGGGACAAGTCCAGCCAGGTGACCCGGACTGGTTTCGCACCGTTTCGCAAGACCGGCAGCCCCACCCAAGAGGCGGAAAATGGGTTGTTGGGACCCGCGGGTCCACGGGTCCATGCGGGCCATCAACACCAAGTACAGACCATCCCTCTTCTTCCATGGGATTCCAAGACATGTTGAGAGACTTGAACTAGGAAGGACTTTGGGGACCCTGGGTGCTTTTTGGGGATGGCTCAGGCTTAACCCCTCTAGGTACCTTTTGGAGTCTCTTTGGAATAGATCGGCGCAGCAACGGAGACTTCTCCCTCACGCAACCGCTCGTTCTCGTCTCTCCGGTGCAGCGAGTGGGGCTCCGGAGGCGAAAGGTGGTACCGAGGTTTTGGATGAGGCCAGGAACCAAGAGAGGTAGGTAGGTAGCCAGTGGCCGGTTCCGACTCGGACCCGGAAAAGCTGGGGTACCCTGGCCTGGGATAGCCGAACAGTCGGACTCTGACCCACCTTTTGTTGGAACAACATTGGGAAAAGCTATATGCTCCGACCCTGATGTTCCATGTGAGTTGGTCGTGCTGATGGGAACCCCGTCGACCCGTCAGAACTGGACCCGTCAGACTGTTCGAGGCCGTGCAGGAACCGGGACACAAACCTTCTTTCACTTGTTTGGCCCTTTCAGAAACATATATGTGTGTGTGTGTGTTTGTGTGTGTGAGGTCAATCAAGAATGATGAAAGCCAGGAGTTGGGAATTGCAAGAATCAGACCATTTGAGACCCAGAATGCATGCATGAAACAATGCTTCCAATTGAAAAGGCGTGCTGCTGAGCAGGTGCTGAGCCTGCTCGGGTTCAGGGCTGCGATGTTCGCAGGTCTCTCAGGCGGCGACGCCGATACGCCTCATCCCAAGGACAAGCTTTGGCCAGGCTTCGGTCCCTAGAAGCCCAGTTAGACGATTTGTGGCACCAAGTAAAGGAGAGTCCGAACTTGGGGTCATCCAGTCAGACCATTTCATAGTCTTTGACATTGGCCAGTGTTCAGTTGCTTTGATCAACCCCCGATCCAAAAGCCTGCATCGATTCTACGTACCCCGGTCTGAAGCATTCAAGAGATATGCCACCTTCGATCAGTCCAGTGATCCCGTCGTCGTCGGACCAGGGTATGTCCATCGTCTTCCCGGAACACTCCCAGAACATCGCACATCGTCGAGCTCGGTCATCCGTCCGGCACGTCCACGTCGAGTTCTGGAAAACAAGGCCGACGGGCCATGCTTGACCTGTTCTCAGCCGACCTCGACCCATGCTTGACCCCTTTGAGGTGGTTTTGGGAAATCGACTTTGTGGGTGAAGAATTGTGTGGAGAATTCTTTGTTCTATATCCAGCGGATCCAGTTCCCATTGTAGCTGGTCACCAGGGGTTCCAAAGACTAAAGCCGACCTCAAAACCCAGGTTCCTTATGTAAAGTACTATAGTTAGGGGTTTGTCCTATTACCTGTAACAGTCAGTAAACAAGGCCTACAACCTAAAAAATTAAAAAACCAATGGGCCCTGGTAGACTCGGATAGACCCAAAGACTATAAGTGGTAACTGGAGCCCGAGTCCCACCGTATGGACGACATAGACGAACGACATGGACCTGGGGGCGGGCGACGTACGTACACGGAGGAGACTGCGTTGAAGTAGCATTTTCCAACAGAGGTTGAAGGACCCGACTGTTCGCCTATCCCAGTTGGGTACCCCAGGTTCTCCGGGTCCTATTTACGGTCACTGGCTAGCTGTCTTGGTTAGGACCAGGTGTCCAGGTGTTTTGGGAGATGTCAGACTCCGACCATCCAACCATCTCCAACCTGTTCCCAGCCTCCTCTCCCAAGGTCCCATATCAGGTTTCCAGGTCACCATCTTGGTCAATTCAGGTGGGGTATAGGTGAAAGGAGAGTTCCACATCGACGGATGTTCTATGGTGCGGGAGGTGGATGACAGTGCCAGGGTGTGGGGAATTGGTGACAGACCTGCGAGCCCAAGATCCGGTGGCGGTGTTCGCACCGGGTGCAGAGCTCGGTTTTGAACCCCTGGGAGGAGGACTTGTAATTCATACCCCAAACGGGCTCCTCAGTAGTACCTTGGTTTCGAAGGTGGGACTGGGGTGGGTTTAAAGGGTCCAGTCATACCTTCTGAGGAGGTACGACTGGAGCCCCAGGGTACCTGTTTCCGATGACCTGAGGAAGACGCCATGCAAAAAAGGCTTCGGGATGATCCGAGTCTCGTGTTCATCCTTGCTGCGATCACGTCGCGATCCTCGCCACTTTGGCTGAACGGCGGCAACAGCCTCCCTGGGAGGTTGCCACGGTGGCCGCCCAGGCCAGCCGTGCACGCGACCGCCCCTGCGCGCGATGGTGCGCTTGTTGTGCCATCCAAAACGTGCTCGGTCGAATTCGCAGTCAGTGCAGGTGGGCGCGCCATGGGGCGAATCAGAATGCAGTTAGGCTGGGTGGGTGGGTGGGGCGGAGATGGGCAGGCAGACGGATGGATGGAATTTTTGTGGGTAGACTCAAGTAGACTCAACTTGAGAGGAAAGCCTAGGAGAAAGCGCCTATTCACAGCTGCAGGGTTCGCTAGGGATGCAATCTCAATTACAGTGCTTGGACCTGGTGAACACTTCCCCATGAATGCAGCTTGCAGATGGTTGCAGTGCAAAGCTCAAATTCAACGTTCCTCAAATTCAGTAGAAGTTGTCTATAGAAGATGCCTTGAAGACGTTGAAAGACATGTGAAGAATATGGACTATGGACCACTGCCGAAACCACTGCGAAAACCCACGGCCATCGTCGACACACCTCGCCGGGCGCAGCGCGGCTGAGAAGCGCCGATCGCCGCATCGCTGCAGGGCTCCTCCTGGGCTTGGCACCCCTGGTGGTCCCTGGGCTTGGCTATCCCTACGCATCGCGACGGCCTGGGCGGCGCATCCGGACGGCGTGGGCTGAAGCCGCTGGTGGTGGGGTGTCTGAAGCTGGAGGACGATGGTCACTGTAATTCGGATGTTCATGGATGTCATTGGATGTTTGGGATGTCTGGGACATGCATTGTATGTCATGTATACATGTACCCTAGAAGTCGAAGCACCATTGTTTTACGAAGGGTTTTATACTACAAAGCCATGATCAACCATTTTATAAATCGACTTGACAGACCTGGGGTGTATTCATACATGCATTGTATTGGACGACCCTGCGCACCTCTGTGGGTGAACGACGGGGGATAAGACGTGCAGACGTCCGTCCGAAGCAGCGACCCATTGGTGAACGACAGACGACAGTCGACCCTCTAGACCCGGTTCTCGCTTTGACCGGCGGAAAGGACGGATCGAAGAATTGACTGATATGGATGAAAGACCATTTTGATCATCAATTTGTCATGTATAGCAGCTCCAACCGGATTCTTAGGGCCCTTCCCAACCCTCAAACTAGGAGACCTGGCAGGAAGGGTGCTGGCAGAGGGAATTTGAAGTATGTGCATCTCCAGCTCTATCCAGACTGGACCCTAGAAGTCCAAAAACATTCAAAAACAAAATATCATCTAGTATCATCTAGTGAAACCATTTGTTAACTGGACTCCAAAGACAGTGACCAATTTACTGTTAACTGGTAACACAGTAACACTAGTGAAACCATTTGTTAGCTGGAAATATTGACCATTTCCTGGACTCCAAACATGGGGTCTCTCTTCAGATCGAACAAAAGAATTGACGTCCCCTCGCTCTGGTTTCGGCTGGACCCTTCGGTGACCCAAACCCACAACCAGCCCGCGACCCACCTCCGGGCTGCCGTGCAACAAACCTGCCACAAAGCTGTTTTGGAAACCGAAGTAGAACCAGCAGAGGTTGAAGGACCTTAAAAGACCCTACTGGGGGACCCATAGGATAGCCTATACGGTTCTTCAACCTCTGTTGGAAAGTGCGAAGCTTTGGGAGAGCTTGGCCAAAAACCACACCCTGGCAGCCTGGCGCCAGTGACTGATCTTGTGCAGTTGCGCCCCCCAAATGTACGAGGTGCACTGCGCGGCATAGGTGTTGGGGTGACCTAAGAGATAACAAACGCATGAAAACAAAAGAAACACTGACCTTGACACTTAGTGCACCACCCCCCTCACCCAAAGAATCTGAACTCCTTGCAGAAAACCGCCGAAACGGTGGCCCACGCGCCGAGCCGCTTCGCGGCGCCGTGTGACGAAACGCGCCGAGGCCGCGCAACGGGAGGCGCCTGGGATCTTCAAGCGCCTGGCTATGGCCGGCGAGGCGCGTGAAACGCCGGCGCGTGAAACGGCTGCTTCAGAGGGTTGGCGAAGTGGCTAAGTATGGCTAAGTGGTTTGGTGGAGTTGGAGAATGCAGGGGAGTCGTGAGAATGCAGGGGAGTCGTGAGCTTTTGATGATGATGTGTGGATTAATGTGGTTTATGCTCCATGCATTTTAGTTTGCCTAAAGCTAGATCACCTCAAAGAATCGGCGCTCCTTCGTCGCTCAGACTGATGACGGGAATGACGTACGCGCACGAATCGTGTTGGGTTGCCCGATGAAGATATCCATCTCAAGTCCAAAAAGTCGGATCGTCCACAAAGACCCATCAAAGACGCCGTGTTGTAAATCGTATTCCTGGACTCCAAGGTATCTAGAACCCATTTGACCCATGTTTGGATTGGAAAAAGAACGGCTTCGTTGGATCCCCAAGACCAGGGTTATCGAAACGGACGCCTGCCGTTTGGATCCCTCGAAACATCGCAGATACAGGTGAAGCAAAGGAACTCCACCTCAGAGCTCTTGAGGTCGCTTGAGCGATCCACAATGTTCGATGACTTGCGCTATGAAGGGGGGGGGTAGGGCGGCCATCAAATCTGAGAAATCATTCAGATGGCCCCTGAGAAGTGTGTTCCAGACTGGCGATGTTCCCGTGGTTTGAGGCTTTGGTACAGGGAAAGGAAGGAAGGACGGACGGACGGAAGGACGGACGGACAGAAGGAAGGAAGAGCAACAATGTATTATGAAGCACTCCAGTCAATCAGCGAATCCCTCCAACAGTCTCCCCAAACCCTCCGTCTCCGTCTCCCAAAAACCCACCACTCCGTGCCGCAAATGCCCTGGGAGTCAAGTCGACTCTAAAAAGAATGGTCTGACGAACGGGGGCCTGAGTTCGGGAACTTCCTTGAGCCTTGAGCCGGTCAAACAATAGTCGAACTGGACTTCTAGGGTGTAGGTTTTCCCATGGGAATAGTCTTTGGACTTCTAGGCATATGGGGCCAGACATTTGGTCGACGTCTTAGACCTTCGGTCCCCCGGTGGGGCACCGGTGCGAACATGAGACCCGTCGGACGAGTCCGGATCTGACCGGGCCCACTGGCAGCCGCCCAGTGGCACGCGGGCAAAAAAGGCGGGGGCTGGAGCAAGAAGAAACGGAGATCGAACTCAGATGAATACATATTGAATACAGACAGCGCGCTGCTTCCGTTCGGGGTGACCTGGCTGGACAACCCTACTGATTCGGTCACCAGACAGGACACCCCGACAGGAAGGTCCTGGTGACCCCTTCAGAGAGCTTGCAGTCTCTCTTTTGAATATCCTGGTTTTGCGTCTCAGGCGATTTGTATTTCTCTCCCGAACCGGGTGAATCCCTGGCATGGGAAGTATGTTCTTTTTGTCCCGGCTCCTTAAGCAAATTCAAGACATGCAATTGTTATCAATTGTGTGTGACCCCCCCACCCACACACACACAATAAGATCAGCCATCAGCAATGGTTTACCATATCTTACCATGGGTTTTCCTGAGTGAATTTGCAATCTTTTGCCATGGATCTTTCATAGATCTTCCAGCCCGCATCAGGAGATCCTCGAACGAGCTGTCAGCGCCACTCGTCAGCATGGGCATGGATCTTCGTTCGTCGTTCGTCCGTGCCCGGCGTGCCCGGTGGGAGGGTGATGGGATTCAGAAAGGCTTTGATGGTGTTCCCACAATGGGATGAATGCATCACTGGCGACCGGGTTTGCCAGGTTTTTCATGAAAGTCAGATTTCTGAATCACTTGACATCGAGAAGACAAAGACTGGCCGGTGAGTCGAATTGAAATCTATGAGCACCGTGCAGTTTGGCAGGGCTGTGGATCGCATGGAGGCATACGAGTGCGGTAAGAAGCATGAATGATTAGTCCAATCGCCACGAGATGGGTAATTAATCCAAAGGAGGTAGATAATTAGCCATGCGTCAGGTGCCGTTTAGTTGTGCAACAGCTTGCCGCCGGCAAAGGCTTAGCGGCAAACCTTGGATTCTCATCAGCTACACCAAACGGAGAATGCGTTCGGTCGCTTTTATCATACGTTGTGCAGAATGGATGGCATTTGACCACGCTCGATGTGTCAACTGCAGCCCTCACAGATTGAACTGTTTATCACGTGCCACCCCTAGATTTTATTAATCAGAAACAGACGACGGTTGGGAGCATAACAATTTAGCCGAGGCTGACCAAACTTTTTCCCCAGATAGCGAAGCTATGGGGTTCTTACTTCAAATAACAATGAGTTGCCCGTGCGCGCTTTCGAGACAGGTTGCTGGTGCTGGGTGCCGGTGCTGGTGCTGGTGCTGTGAGCTGGCTGTGCACGTGGTGGAGACAGTGTGAGTGGAGACACGGTGCCGGTGCCGGGTGCTGGCTGCGCACGTGGTGGAGACAGGCTGCCGGTGCCGGTGCTGGGTGCTGGCTGTGTGCCTGGTGGAGTGTTCGCCAGATAGTGACAGCTATGGGGTTCTTATTCCCCACATTGTTGTGTGGGGTTCTTGTTTTTTTTGCTGCACCTCCTCGCTCGTCCTCCTCCGTCCTCCTCCGTCCTCCTTCCTCCTTCCTCCTTCCTCCTCTCTAACTACAACCTCTCTCACACAACATCTCTCACAACAACATCTCTCACAACAACATCACTCAGACAACATCCCACACACAACGTCTTGCATACAACATCACTCACACAACATCTCTCACAACAACATCTCACACACAACACACAACATCACTCACACAACATCGGATGCCAAGGGGTCGGATGACAAAACATCACTCAGAGAACATCCCACACACAACGTCTCACACACCACAGCACACACACACAACATCTCTCACAACAACATCTCACACATTCTCACACACAACAGCACACACACAACATCACTCACAGGCGCAGCACATCTCGTGGCAGGCACAGCACCTTGCTGCTTGCCAAGGGGTCGGATGTACGCCCTGGCGTCGGCTGGGCACCGGCGCTGGATGTGCAGATTTCGTGGCAGGCGCAGCACTTTGTGAACCTTCATGTGCAGATTTCGTGGCAGGCGCAGTACTTTGTGAACCTCCGTGTGCAGATCTCGTGGCAGGCACAGCACTTTGCTGCTTGCCAAGGGGTCGGATGTACGCCCTGGCGTCGGCTGGGCACCGGCGCTGGATGTGCAGATTTCGTGGCAGGCGCAGCACTTTGAAATTGTGAACCTTCATGTGCAGATTTCGTGGCAGGCGCAGTACTTTGTGAACCTCCGTGCGCAGATCTCGTGGCAGGCACAGCACTTTGCTGCTTGCCAAGGGGTCGGATGTACGCCCTGGCGTCGGCTGGGC